AAGAACTACTATTCGCTGGTTGTGGACAGCGCCCTGGACCGCGAGAGCGTGTCGGACTATACTCTAGTAGTGACCGCGCGGGACGGAGGCTCGCCTTCGCTGTGGGCCACGGCCAGCGTGTCCGTGGAGGTGGCCGACGTGAACGACAACGCGCCGGCATTCGCGCAGCCCGAGTACACGGTGTTCGTGAGGGAGAACAACCCGCCCGGCTGCCACATCTTCACGGTGTCCGCGCGGGACGCGGACGCGCGGGAGAACGCGCGGGTGTCCTACTCGCTGGTGGAGCGGCGGGTGGGCGAGCGTGCGCTGTCGAGCTACGTGTCGGTGCACGCGGAGAGCGGCAAGGTGTACGCGCTGCAGCCGCTGGACCACGAGGAGCTGGAGCTGCTGCAGTTCCAAGTGAGCGCGCGCGACGCGGGCGTGCCTCCGCTGGGCAGCAACGTGACGCTGCAGGTGTTCGTGCTGGACGAGAACGACAACGCGCCCGCGCTGCTGCCGCTGCCTGGGGCGGGCGGCGGCGCGGGCGCGGTGAGCGAGCTGGTGTGGCGGTCGGTGGGCGCGGGCCACGTGGTGGCGAAGGTGCGCGCGGTGGACGCGGACTCTGGCTACAACGCGTGGCTGTCGTACGAGCTGCAGCCGGCGGCGGGGGGCGCGCGCAGCCCGTTCCGCGTGGCGCTGTACACGGGCGAGATCAGCACGACGCGCAGCCTGGACGAGGCGGACTCGCCGCGCCAGCGCCTGCTGGTGCTGGTCAAGGACCACGGCGAGCCGGCGCTGACGGCCACGGCCACCGTGCTGCTGTCGCTGGTGGAGAGCGGCCAGGCGCCCAAGGCGTCGTCGCGGGCGTTGGCGGGCGCGGCGGGCGCGGAGGCGGCGCTGGTGGACGTCAACGTGTACCTGATCGTCGCCATCTGCGCCGTGTCCAGCCTGTTGGTGCTCACGCTGCTGCTGTACACGGCGCTGCGGTGCTCGGCGCAGCCCACGGAGGGCGCGTGCGCGCCTGGGAAGCCCACGCTGGTGTGTTCCAGCGCGGTGGGGAGCTGGTCGTACTCGCAGCAGAGGCGGCAGAGGGTGTGCTCTGGGGAGGGCGCGCCCAAGACCGACCTCATGGCCTTCAGTCCCAGCCTACCTCAAGTTCCAGGCACCACAGAAGAAAGACAACAGCCCTCAGAGTCAGAACACTTAGGAAAGGTGAGTTTTTCCGGTCGATTCTTGAACTGTTCTATATCCTTTATTAATGATTCCATTATTTGGATTCATATTTGCCTATTTTTAACCACTGCAGTATAGGGTATGAAATAGAGATTAATTTCTTGCACTGAGAACAATTTAACTTAAGTGATTTTCTTATTTTCACATTTTGTTTTTTTATAATGAAATCTGTTTAATAATTAATTAAATCTGTTAATTAATAATTAATTTACTTAATTTAATTAAATCTGTTAATTTAATTTAATAAATTAATAAATTAAATCTCTTCATGAATAATAGGACCTTGAAGGGTTGAACAACACTTCTGCTAAATTTGAAAACTTACTACCTCTAAATAATTTTTCTCAAAAGTAAAAAAAATCATAATTGGAAAAAATTTCCAAGAGTATGAATATATAATTCATATTTCCAATTTACATAATCTATCCATTCTGTCAGAATATATTGAAATAGGACTATATTATATATCTGGATGTTTTCTATTCTTTCTATCAAGAATTCATTTGTCTTTATCTGTTTATGCAACAAGTTTTTTATTTTATTTTTTAAAATGTTTTATTTATTTCTGAGAGAGAGAGAGAGAGAGAGAGAGACAGTGTGAGCAGGGGAGGTTCAGAGAGAGAAGGAGATACAGAATCTGAAACAGGCTCCAGGCTCTGAGCTGGCTGTCAGCACAGAGCCCAACACGGGGCTCGAACCCACGAACTGTGAGATCGTGAACTGAGCCGAAGTCGGATGCCTAACCGACTGAGCCACCCAGGTGCCCCTTTTTATGCAACAAGTAATAAGTTAGTTTTTCATTTCCACGTACTTGAAAACAGTCTGAATGGACCTTTTAATGCCAGGACCTCCAAAAATACCCAGGGATGCTTGGGTGGCAGAGACTGACCACTTGGCCTCTGGCAGCACACTACGCCCATGATAACTTTCCCCACAACTGTGAGCTCACTCATTTTTCCTGGCAGCATCCATATAACTAATCAAGTTGCAGTTTTCTCAAAAGGTAAAGACTGATATTGAATGACTACATTTTAATTGGAAACTCCTATGTTGGGTAGTTAAAACATAAACTACCCATATAAAAGTGTGACAAGTAATGGTCACACTTGGAAAAGAATTTAAACACTTCAAAAGAAGATGTGTTAGGGCAAAATAACTGTCTAAAAGTGTCTTCTATTTGGTTCTTAGCTATATGCTGTTTTTTCCCCATATGTATGTGGATATTGGTGAATTATAGAAATAACTTCCACTAAGTGATCTGGGCCTTAGCCATTTAACAGGCCAGATATTCATTTTCATCTGAGACCTGCTTTTAAAGGAATTGAGAAGTTAGGTAGGGGAATCTTTTAAGGATAATCTGTTTCTATAGTAAACTTCTAATCTCCTAAGAGTTGATACTTCTCAAAATTTAGGGGGTATATATTTCCCGGGGATCAGAAATGTTTATCTGTGGCTTAACAGAGAAAAAGAAATGGTTTGAGCAAATAAGGAAGAACTTCTCTCTTGGGAGGAGTTATCTTACCTAGAGTCTCATATCTACTCACCACTTTCACGAGACTTGCGTGCAGAAAGTATGAATGGTCAGGTGGAATCTGTCCTACTAGAAGTCTGGCCACTACATTTGTACTATAGGCAAATGGTAAGCTTTGAAAACTGTATCCAGGTATACCCAGATCTCCAGGAGTCACACTTTAAAAAGTCTTACTGTTTTTTTTATTCCTTATTTACATTTTTAAATTAAATTGTTTAAGAAGATATCTAAGTGAGAGTAGATATTATTCACTAATACTTTATCCACACATCAGTTCAGTCTTCTATACTCATAGTTTCTTTAGTACTACCTTCATTGCCTATAATCATTATATTCTGTGATAAATTCCTTATGGCATTCTACTTTGCAATTAGTATACTCTTAAATGTCATGAAATACATAGCATTATAAGTTGTCACAGGTATTCCATTAATATGGAGTCCATGATGTTTTAAAATTTTAATTCTGTATCTCATTTTAAAACTAGCTATGACCTTTCAAGATTCTTCAAAACACTTGACATATAGATGTCTATAATTATTTCCTAGACCCATGCTTTTACAAAATAATTCTTAAATGTTTACTTCTTCATAAACTAGTATAGTAGAATCAATTAGAAATTATGTAAGTTTGGTATTAACAAGTATCATTAATATAACTTACTTCTTTAGTTCTGTTACTTGAGATAGTTTAAAATAATCTTTTATCCATTAAAACATAATTGATAATTTATTCTATTCTGAATGTGAATGATAAAATATGAGTAAGTTGCAATCCTGGCTTACATTCAGTGATAACATGGGGGAAAAAAAACTGGTATGGAAACTTTTCTCCTAATACTTAAATCATGTGTTTGATTTTATTTCAAGAGGCTTTGACTATAAGCAAAGCTTTAGACATGCTTTTACCTCTCTAAAGCCAACCTCTGCCCATGAATTTTCTCAGCTTAACTTTCAGATACTCAAAGACCTCATGCCTCTTGCTGAATTCTCAAAGACTTTTAGAATATTATATTGTCTATAAGATAGAATATTATCTTACATATGTTGAATGGTGAATTATGTTCCAAAGCTATGTTTCTCTCTATATTGGTTAGTTAAGTCACCACAGCTTTCAAATAACTTTTTAAAATACTGGAATCCAGAAATTCATCTAGAGTGGGGATCATTAAAAACACAGTGATCTCATATTGTGATCATTTTAGGATATACAGGTAAATTGAAATGTATAAATGGCATGGAAATTTAAAAAACACATAAACTCTTACTTGGTGTGATACGAATGTAGCAAATATCTAAATCACACGGTATTGTCATGCACTAAAAAACAAATTTACAAAAGAACTGCACTGTAAAAAACCAACTTCTGGCATCTTTATATAAATAACAGTTAAGACAGACAGCAAGGGTACAATCATTGGATAAAGCATACAGGAGTGGGTTATAGACATTCCATAAATAAATAAATAATGTAAATTAACAATTGCCATCATAATATAGAAGTAAATATGTATGTATACATGGATATGTATATACACATACTTTCAGTGCCTTCATATTTTGGTGGTCATGAACATCAAAGGCCTGGTTTTGCTATAAAATGTAGACTTTGAGGACAAGTGATAAAAATTATAAGTTTAGAGTCACATTGAGATCCCACCGAAACACCACCAGCTAATATCATTTTTAAGTTACTTAACTGGTATCTGTTTTCACTTCCTTGTTTGTAAAAAGTGAATAGTATTAATACTTACCTTGGAAGGCTGTTGTGAGAATTTGATTGGATAACCTATTAAGCCTCATGCTTGTCACATGGGGGAATATTTCCAATAGATGTCCGCTACTGTTACAACATTAATCACTATTCTATTCTTTTTTACTTATGTCATGGATTGGAATATTTGAAAGTGATAAATTAGTATAAAAGCTATAAGGATATTTTTTTAATAAAATATAAAGGATTTGAAAAGTGCTCAGAGGATATTACAATGAAAACAGAAATTTGGGGAAAGTTCAGACCCAAGTAGAAGTACATTTATTTAATACTTACACATTTAGCCACATGATGTCGCTGTCCACCACAAGGTGTTTCACCACAAAAGAAATACACCATGTATTACATTCTCAGTTGCTGCTTTTCCTCATCGTCTCTGAAATACAGGTATGGTAAGATTATTTAAGAAAAACCAAGGAACTCAAAATATTTTTTAAAGTTTGGATCGATGCTAGAGCGACCCAATATTTGGAAAAGGCTCGCAATGATGTTTTCACGGAGAGAAGAAGGTTCAGGAGCCTGGCGACTACTGCTTTCATTTCTGCTCTTCACAGTCTGGGAGGCTGAGAGCGGCCAGGTTCACTACTCAGTCCTGGAGGAGGCCAAACACGGCACTTTCGTGGGCCGGATCGCCCAGGACTTGGGGCTGGAGCTGGTGGAGCTGGTGCCTCGCCTGTTCCGGGTGGCGTCCAAAAGCCACGGAGACCTTCTGGAGGTAAATCTGCAGAATGGCATTTTGTTTGTGAATTCTCGGATCGACCGTGAGGAGCTGTGTGCACGGAATCTAGAATGCAGCATCTATCTGGAGGTGATCGTGGACAGGCCGCTGCAGGTATTCCATGTGGAGGTGGAGGTGAAGGACATTAACGACAACCAGCCAGTTTTTCCAGTGGCAGTAAAGAAATTGTTTATTTCCGAATCCCGACCGCCTGGTTCTCTGATTCCGCTAGAGGGAGCATCAGATGCAGATATTGGAGCGAATTCTTTGTTGACCTACAGTCTTAACTCTAACGATTATTTTACCTTGGATATTAAAAGAAATGATGAGAATATTAAATCTCTTGGACTCGTGTTGAAAAAGCTTTTAAATCGAGAGGACATTCCTGAACATCACTTAGTAATAACGGCAGTTGATGGTGGGAAACCAGAGCTCACCGGCACTACTCAACTGAAAATCACCATTCTAGATGTAAACGACAACGCCCCAGAGTTTGAGAGGACTGTCTACAAAATCAGTTTATTCGAAAATGCTCCAAACGGTACTCTAGCAGTGACTGTTAACGCCTCTGATTTAGATGAAGGAGTAAATAAGGACATTGTATATTCTTTCAATACAGACGTGTCATCAGATATTTTGTCAAAATTCCACTTAGACCCACTTAATGGGTACATCACTGTAAAGGGTAACATAGATTTCGAGGAAACTAAGTTATATGAAATCCAGGTAGAAGCGACAGATAAAGGAAATCCCCCAATGGCAGGTCATTGCACGGTTTTGGTGGAAATTTTGGACACCAATGATAATGTACCCGAGTTGGTTATCAAATCACTGTCCTTACCTGTATTAGAAGACGCGCCCCCCGGCACGGTCATCGCCCTGATCAGCGTGTCCGACAGTGATTCCGGAGTCAACGGGCAGGTGACCTGCTCACTAACAGCCCACGTACCCTTCAAGATGGTGTCCACCTTCAAGAAATACTATTCGCTGGTTGTGGACAGCGCCCTGGACCGCGAAAGCGTGTCGGACTATACTCTAGTAGTGACCGCGCGGGACGGAGGCTCGCCTTCGCTGTGGGCCACGGCCAGCGTGTCCGTGGAGGTGGCCGACGTGAACGACAACGCGCCGGCATTCGCGCAGCCCGAGTACACGGTGTTCGTGAGGGAGAACAACCCGCCCGGCTGCCACATCTTCACGGTGTCCGCGCGGGACGCGGACGCGCGGGAGAACGCGCGGGTGTCCTACTCGCTGGTGGAGCGGCGGGTGGGCGAGCGTGCGCTGTCGAGCTACGTGTCGGTGCACGCGGAGAGCGGCAAGGTGTACGCGCTGCAGCCGCTGGACCACGAGGAGCTGGAGCTGCTGCAGTTCCAAGTGAGCGCGCGCGACGCGGGCGTGCCTCCGCTGGGCAGCAACGTGACGCTGCAGGTGTTCGTGCTGGACGAGAACGACAACGCGCCCGCGCTGCTGCCGCTGCCTGGGGCGGGCGGCGGCGCGGGCGCGGTGAGCGAGCTGGTGTGGCGGTCGGTGGGCGCGGGCCACGTGGTGGCGAAGGTGCGCGCGGTGGACGCGGACTCTGGCTACAACGCGTGGCTGTCGTACGAGCTGCAGCCGGCGGCGGGGGGCGCGCGCAGCCCGTTCCGCGTGGCGCTGTACACGGGCGAGATCAGCACGACGCGCAGCCTGGACGAGGCGGACTCGCCGCGCCAGCGCCTGCTGGTGCTGGTCAAGGACCACGGCGAGCCGGCGCTGACGGCCACGGCCACCGTGCTGCTGTCGCTGGTGGAGAGCGGCCAGGCGCCCAAGGCGTCGTCGCGGGCGTTGGCGGGCGCGGCGGGCGCGGAGGCGGCGCTGGTGGACGTCAACGTGTACCTGATCGTCGCCATCTGCGCCGTGTCCAGCCTGTTGGTGCTCACGCTGCTGCTGTACACGGCGCTGCGGTGCTCGGCGCCGCCCACGGGGGGCGCGTGCGCGCCTGGGAAGCCCACGCTGGTGTGTTCCAGCGCGGTGGGGAGCTGGTCGTACTCGCAGCAGAGGCGGCAGAGGGTGTGCTCTGGGGAGGGCGCGCCCAAGACCGACCTCATGGCCTTCAGTCCCAGCCTTCCACCAGGTCCCATTGACGGGAATAGAGAAGAAAAGCTGGATGTGGATGTTGATCTTTCTGCCAAAGTGAGTACCGCTTTTTAAATCCTTTTAAGTTGTCGTGTTTTATTCTTCAATGTTTTTGTTGTTTTGGAAACATGCTTTTTGTAATCAGAGTTTCCCAGGGTTTTGTGGTTAAAATATTTGAACTTATTGTGATAAAAGTTTTTGAAGTGAGTTAGTAATAAGTAGTGAGAGCCATACTTGTAGTGTTGTTGCTGTTGTTAGGTGTAGTAGTAGGATTATTTTATTGTCAAAAATAGAAACTAAATATATTTTCCTGGATGGATTGTATTGTTTAGAACATTTAACTCCAACTGTGGTTTACTAATCTTTGTACAATGCTTCAATAGCTTTTGCCACTTTTTATTTGGAATTCCTATTAAATGTTAGTCCAAATGTCACTGGTCCATTTCATGAGTTCCCCATAAATGCTCACAACTCCCTTTTTGTTAATATATCCTGATTTCAAATATTAGTTTATTAAGCCTGTTTTCTCTATAAAGCCTCTTTTACTCATTTATTAATTTATCTGAAGTTGGTTCCTTTTGTTTTACTTGAATATGATTCATTTCAGTCCTTGTGCTCACATTTGGTAATACATTGTATTGTTGCTAGTTTCCCAGTTGGGTAAAGAAAACCACACACATACACACACACACACACCCCAGAATAATAATTTCATTGCTTTAGAATTGTATCTTTGTTCATACTCCGTTTCTCACTACTTTTATTAGTAAGCATTGAAAAAATCAATAGTAAGTGAACTTTTATACTTCTTTCAGTATATCTTCATTTAGAAAACATTGTTTTTGAAAGTATTTTATTAATTTTGTTAATAATTGTTTTCCATCATGGGGTGCCTGGGTGGCTTAGTCAGTTAAGCGTCCGACTTTCGCTTAGGTCATGATCTCACGGTTCGTGGGTTCGAGCCCTGCGTCGGGCTCTGTGCTGACTGCCAGCTCAGAGCCTGGAGCCTATTTCAGAGNGTCGGGCTCTGTGCTGACTGCCAGCTCAGAGCCTGGAGCCTATTTCAGAGTCTGTGTCTCCCTTTCTCTCTGACCCTCCCCTGCTCACGCTCTCTCTCTCTCTCTCTCTCTCTCCTAGAAATAAATAAAAATATTAAAAAAAACAAAAATAATTGTTTTCCATCAGATGGGGTTCTTGAGTCTCTCAGTCAGTTGGGCATCTGACTTCAGCTCAGGTCATAATCTCATGGTTTGTGGGTTCAATCCCTGCATTGGGCTCTGTGCTGACAGCTCAGAGCCTAAAGCCTGCTTTGGATTCGGTGTCTCCCTGTCCCTCTCTGCCCCTCCCCAGCTTGTGCTCTGTCTCTCTTTAAAATAAATAGACATTTAAAAAATTAGAAAAAATTGTTTACCCTCCGAACACTTTATTGAAAATACTACTCTATATCTAACTTAAAAGCTACTCTATTAGCAAAACTTTTAATCATTAACCTGTTTTTCAAACACTTAGTAGTAAAGATAGTAATGTCCAGTGTTATTACTCATGATCTTCCTCTGAATATTGACTTGTGTATTATATAGTATGTTAAAACCACTAAATAACTGGAACCAAATTAAACAAAATGAAGTTATTTTGTAGTCATTTCCCTATTTAGTATTTGATCATTTCTCCAAATAGATGGACTAACATTCAAGTTTCCTTGCCACTGGAAACTGAACCTTAGGCATATTAGAAACTAGAAAACAAGTGATTATTTCTTTAAAAAAATTTTTTTAAATGTTTTAAGTATTTCTGAGAGAGAGAGAGAGAAAGACAGAGAGAGAGAGACAGCATGAGCAGGTCAGAGAGAGAGGGAGACACAGAATCCAAAGTAGGCTCCAGGCTCCGAGCTGTCAGCACAGAGCCCGATGCAGGGCTTGAACCCACGAACCGTGAGATCATGACCTAAGCCGATGTTGGACACTTAACCGGCTGTGCCACCCAGGTGCCCCTAAGTGATTATTTCTAAATCATGAAAGACAAAATGAAAATACTAACCTTGCTTGTGGAAGGTGAATAGGTTCCAGTGTATGTAATCATATAGAATATTTCCACCTAAGTTATAACTACAACTTCCTACTTCCTGTATGAGCATCCTTACCAAAACCTGGTTAATACTCAGTGACATTGTGGATGAGGCTAACATATACAATAGAAAGATATTCGTTTTTTCCCATTTTCATTCCCTTTTCTCTCACTATACTTTGTTGACCCCTGTCTATCAAGTGTCCATCAGCATGTCCAACCTGAGTTCACATGTTGTTTCATTAGGCCTCATTTTCTTTTTATTTTTTTTCTTTTTCTTTTTATTTTTTATTTCTAGGAGAGAGAGAGACAGCGTGAGCAGGGAAGGGTCAGAGAGAGAGGGAGTCACAGACTGAAACAGCCTCCAGGCTCTGAGTTGGCAGTCAGCACAGAGCCCGACGCGGGGCTCGAACCCACAAACCACGAGATCATGACCTAAGCTAAAGTCGGACGCTTAACCGACTAAGCCACCCAGGCGCCCCTCATTAGGCCTCATTTTCATCCTATTGTAACTAAGAGGGTCATCCAAAGTATTTGTTTCCCAGGATGTGGGACTTCAGTCTTCAAATTGAGCTCTCCTCTTCAAATTCTTCACTAACAAGATTCTCAGTGAATAAGACATTTTAAAGAGTTTTGAGATTTTATCTTTAGAAATAAATTGCTGGTATACTAGATGAATACTAACAGTTCTCACATAAATATCCTTTATATTCTTTTGCACTCCTCACCTCTGCATTTAATTATTTTTAAAATAAAGTAAATGGACAAGGAGCCTTTTCCATTTTCTTCCACTATGTTTGACATGTGTAATCATTTTGTGCAAATCTACAGTTTGGGTCCTCAGACAGAGGAACTACCCTGATTTTAATTTAATTTTAATTTACCCTGTTTTAATTCAGAAGAGGGTATTTTTGTGTGAGTGTGGCTCTTCATAGAATGGAAGCTTAATGCCATTTTCAGTAGATTGGTATTTTGTCCTAAACAACCATGAGGGATGCTGGTTTGTGAATATAATAGGCAAAGAAAACTTGAAAATAATTACCATTAAAAAAAAAGAAAAGAAAAGACGGGGTGCCTGCGTGGCTCAGTCAGGTAAGCAGCCGACTTCGGCTTAGGTCATGATCTGGCGGTTCGTGGGTTTGAGCCCCGCGTCGGGCTCTATGCTGACAGCTCAGAGCCTGGAGCCTGTCTTCAGACTGTGTGTGTGTCTCTCTCTGACCCTCCCCTGCTCCTGCTGTCTCTCTCTCTCTCTCAAAAATAAATAAAACATTTAAAAATTTTTTAAAAGATTAAAAAAAAAGAATTACTATCATGTCCTTTTATGTTAACTTTCCTTATGTTAGGAAAATATATTGTGCTCTATTATTGAGAATTCTTCATTGGCTGTTAAAACTCAGATGTTTCTAAGATCATAACTGCCAAAGCCAAATGAAACTAAGCTAAAATCCAGGTTTTCAATATACAAAATGAAATATATCTTAATTAGAGCATCATCTAAGGAAAATATTTCTGTATCTCTGGAAAACTATAGAGGCTGCTGCTGAGACATCATATTTGCCTAACTAGCTTTGTGACCACCTTAATTTAATGCATTTTATTAGGCAATTGAAGAGAACCAAAGCATTCAGTTAGGTAAATATTCAGGAAATACCTGTTATGTATTCTGAACTCTTAAGCTAATAAGACACAACTATTCTCTTTAAAAATTTATATTTTATAAAAGAAGGCCCCAGCTATTTGGATCTTTGTATTTATTACATGACACTCATGACATTAGACATAAATACCCAAATGCCTAAAAAAGAGAAATTAATATAATGAATGGCCCAAGTGATTCAATCTGTATGCTCTAGTATATAACAGAAAGTAAAAGCACCTGCTCAATTGGTTTAATCATGAAAATCTTCATTTCATTGGTCAAAGAAATTTTTTAATGGTTATAAAATGGGGGAAGTTCCTGTGTGAGACATTTGGAAAAGATGGATAGTACTTAAGAGGATGAAATGATTATGTTTGGTGAAAAATATTGTTGGAAGCAGTAAATTGTTCACTTTGACTAAAATACATGAGCACTATACAAGAAAATAGAAGTTTACGTGTATTAGACACTGGAGAACAGGCTAGTACTTATAAATCATAAGAGACAAATTGAGAATACCAATCTTGATTGTTGGAGGTGAGTATATTTGTTAATAAAATTATTCGCAATACTTTCCCACACCACTTATATACTACAGCATCATACTTGCTTCTTAAAGCTCTTTGCACTTATAGCCATTATATGAATTAATGAAGACTTTCAGTTAAGTGCTGGTGATTTCTGCTTCCTTTTTCAAACATTTAAAATTTCCCTTTCAATGGCTTATTCTTGGCGTTGGAGGCTTCCTAGATCAGAGGGTTCTCTGAAGTCTTCAACACCAGAATTGTGAAATCCAAAGATCAAGAGTATGTCATCATTAATAACCACTTTCCCCCATTCTCAGGAACACATAAAATTGGTCAAGAATTTTCCTAATCAGCACTTAACAGTTATGTTTGCAAAATGTATATTTACTCCAGCTGGGTCTCTATAAATATTTAAAACCTGTATTAAAAAATGATTTCCACTGAAGTAAAAGTTGTCCCTGTGGTGAAACTAAGAGTGACATTCAATCAGCGGTACAAAACATGTAACTAATAGCACAAAATGTGTTTCCATTATCCAATGGCATAAAAGTATATGAAAGAATAAGACTGAACAGTATAAGAATCGATTACTTACGGTTTGGAGCCACATGATGTCGCTCTGTACCATAAAATTAATCTGCTAGAGAAAGAAAAAAATCCTTTCTGTTATTATAAAGAAGCTGCATCCACCATTCAGGTAGAGAGAAATGGAGGATACAATGCCACTGGACTGAAGGATTAGAAGATATTTCTTGATTTTGAAACAAGATCCCTTAATGAAAACAAGGCACTGCGGGCTCGAGATGGAGTTTTCCTGGGGAAATGGCCAGGAATCCAAGCGTCTG